CAGCCCTTCGAATGGGGCCAGTCCTTACTGCCTCGAGTTTGTACAACTGAAGTTTTGCTCTTCCTGGAATAAATCTGTCTGCTTGGCTTGTCATCAGTGAGATTGACTCAGCCTCATAGGTCAGTCGCTGCTGGGACGGCTGTGCCTCAGCTCTTTGGCAGTTGGAAGTGTTCCTCTTCTTTCTCCTGCTCATGTTTTGTACTGTTGTTTCATCACTGCTGATTCTTTTGTTGGTTACCTTTGCAACTAATCTAGACTACACATTTTTTTTTCTCAGTGAATAAAAGGTGTGTAAGGATTATCTCAGCTGCCCCTGAGCTCTCAGAGCAGCTGGATGTGCAGCTCTACAATAACTTGTTAGTCTCATGAGCTGTCTGGACAATAGACTGAATTACAGCTGTCTGGGTTTGGCATACAGCTTATCAGATGTTCTTCTCACCTACATGGCTAACACCACTCACAGTCAGAGGCTGAGGTACAAATCTCACTGCTGTGTCTCTGATGCACTTTGTCTCATTTTAGTTCAGGACAGGAACCACTGCATGTCCTATGTAAAAAAATAAAAAATAAAAAAAATCCTTAAAATGCCTTGTAATTAAATCTGCATTGAGTTTTGCAGAGATGTGTCTTCCAGGAGCAAGGCTGTCATCTGGGGCTGTCTCAGAGATGGGCTGGGGTTGGCAGTCAGTGGTGAAAGCCAGCAAAGCTGAGAATGACAAATGGACACGTTGTTTGGTAGCACAGATAGAGGAGCTGTAACTGGTGGGATTTGGGGATGCAAAGGGAACCTTTGGCTATAGACCTCTGGCTAAGTCCTGTGGATTAAACGAGGTCAGGTGATCTCCTTCTGTGGCATGACATAAACAGAGACCCTTTTTCTTTCAGGCTGAAGTTCATATTTGGCCCATCTGCTGTCCCAGCTTTGGATTTGGTGGATCAACGTTCTGTCACCCGAGTCGTGTCCCCCAGTGGAAGGACCGCGTATCAGGTAAGCACAGTCCTTCCTCCTGAGTCTCACTTTCTGATGGTTTCCAGTTGACATTTTACCCAACTACTGACTAATTAGACAAACACAGAGTCAGTATCAGTGCCTTACAAACCCCTCAAGTGCTACTGGAGAGCAGTAGCCACGGAATGGAATGAGAACAGCATGTTGCACTACAGTTTTCTTTACAGCTCCTGGCTAGAGATGGTTTCTGATTTGTTTGTGAGCATTAGGGTCACAGGAAGGTCTTCAGGATTTGCTGATTTTGCTGCATTATTTTCATCCTATCCAGCAAAGGCAGTTCTTCCTCCTGACAAACTGTATACAATAAGTGTTATCTGCAGTCACTGCATTTCTTTCCTTGTTGCACTTCAAATCCTCAGTGTCTCTGATACCAGTGACCTCCAATAGGATCCTTGCTGCCTGGAAGGAAGCAGTGGAGGCCAAGCCTGTGACTTTCATTCTAGTTCACTGGTTCACTGTAGCCAAGTCTGTGAATCACAGAAGCATCTTCATAAAATGGCAGTATAGACAAAAGAGCTCATCTTAGTCCTGAAGATGAAGCTCCTTGTGTAGCACAGGACTGGAGGTGGAGCTGAGGCTCGTCAGCTGAAGGAAAAGTCATTGGCACTTCTTTAAACCTTTGCTGGGAAACTGGGTCTGGGTAATGAAAGAAGTATTTCTCACGTGTTCAGAGCTTGCATTGCTTACTTTGCACATGGAATCTTCATCTCTTCTGGGAGCTTGGAGAGGACATCTGCTCCTCTAAAGAGGCATGATTCATAAACACACAGGATTCAAAAACACAGGCTTTAATCTGAGATGAGGGCTTGCCTGTGGGTTTTTGGTAAAGCCTAAGAAGCAGCTGCCTCAGTAATTGAATGCTTAAAGGCTTTTCTTTTTTTACTGTTTCTCAGTTGAATATGTCACTAAGCAGAAAATGGTCACATTCTCTTTGCAGAGCTTTGTTAGGCCTCGTGGGCTAAAGCAGAGTGTGGCAGGCAGGGATGTTCAGTCATCACTTTCCCCCTTTTTGTGTGGAGGACAAAGGAGACCACCTAGAGTCTCTGGTCATCTCGAGGAGCCCAAATGTGTGCTCACATACCCTTGACTTCTGCAGTTATCTTAATCTCAAGAAGCTTGATATTCATATCCTGGGTGGAGGAAGCCCCTTGAGATGGTGAAGAGATCAGAAGAGCCTGGTGAGAGGGTTTTGATGTGCCACATACTGCCCTGACAGCCTGTTCTGCTCTGAACAGGGCCGTTCTTAACGTGTGCTGCCTCAAGCAGCATGTAGTGCAGCAGGAGCCTAACTGATGCATGCTAAAAAAGAGCAAGTGGGAGAAGTGCTGTCCTCCTGCCTCTGCAGGTGGAGGTTCCCTAGCAGACCTTGGCAGGTTGGTCAGGGCTGGTCACCTGGAGCTAAAGCAAGAAAGGCCTGGCCTTCAGCCTGGCACTGTGGTTATGGTGTGGGTGTCCAGCATCAGCCAGGTATGTGCTTGCATCCTCTGGGCTGATCCACAGTCTGCAGGAAATGCTCCCTGCCCACAGTTGTGCTGTGCTGCTTCAGAGCAGCATTGCTCTTCACCCTGCTGATTAAGGCCACTCTGATGAGTTCAGTTAGAGAAGAATTTGCAAAGCTATTTTCTCTGGAGGCGTGAGAACGGTCCTATTGCAAAATTCTTCCTCAGCACATCTGTCTGAGATGCAGAAACAGAGCAGAACCTTCCCCAGGGCTGCTAGCTGGAGCTCTGACAGGAGTGCAGGCTGGGGCTGTAGAAACTGAAGCTCTGAGTGGGACACATGGTGGCTGGGTAATGTCATTGGCCCTCAGCTCGTGTCTGTGTGTGGTACGGATCCCAGCTGTGTGCACTTCTCCCTCTGCAGAAAAGCACGCCCAGTGCAGTGGGGGTTGGGGGATGTCTGTGACTGCCTGCACACATCCATCTCACTGACCTGAAAGCTCTGCCCTCCTGGCTGCACCCAGATGTGGTTGAGCTGGAATGTGCTTTCACTTGCAGCTGGATCCAGGGAGCTCTGTTTGTTGTGGCCATAAGGTTGGTCCTGTTGTGAAACTCCTCCGAGTCCTCAGAGCCAAATCTGAGATGTTGATACTTCACAGACTAAAATGCTGTTTGTGTTCCATATCACCCAGCACATCTCGGGCACTGCTTCAGGGGAAAATGCCTCTGCTCAGACAAGCTTTAAGACTGTAGTTTGTAGTGTAGACAGCTTTTTCCCTCAGAAACTGAGATGGGAGTAGAAAAAGCCCTCATTTGAGTGAAAATTGATTTGTCTTTCAATGCCCAGGCATTAATGCTCTTGCTACTTAATAGAGGGATGGCACTGACTGGGTGTTCAAAGGCTGTTATTTCACAGTTGGTAATCATCCTGGAAGGGCTTGTATAGTATCTGCCTACACTGCAGGCTACAGCCAGCCCTGTGTATTCCTGGTCAGGAATATGGCTGAGGGATATGCAGAGCAGCCACTGCTGGCTGATGCTGGAGCATGCTGGACATTAAGGGGTGAGCAGCAGTCGGGGCACACATTGGCACTGCCTAAATTGTGAAAAAGCTGTGATCTGCAGGAGTGAAGGCAGTTAGCAGGGAGAGAATCTGTGCTCTAGCCCTGCTGCCAGCTGTCACTTCCGTTGCTCACATCCTGGTTTCTTCTTAAATATGTATTTTAAAATTGATTTCCTAGAACTCTGTGGCAGCCTGACCCATCATGAGGATTAGAGCAGCAGATCCTGGCACAGAATGCTGCAGCAGCCTCCAGTTCCTGGAGCTGGTTAGAAAAAGCCTCAGTGCAAGTGCTTACTGCTGCTCGCCCTCAGTCCCAGTGTCATCAGTGGCCCTGAATTCACCCATGTGAATTTGTGAGAAAGAGTTTTGGTCATCTTTGACCATCCAGTGTCTACCAGTACAGGGAAGAAGCTGGCTGGAGGGAAGCCAGGCAACTGGGATGGGTCTTAGTGCTTTGTGGCATTGCCCTTTTCCCCCAGACAAGTCGCTGGATCTGAGGTCTGTTGGGAACATGGGTGTACGTACAGGAGTGTTTCTCTGCAGGGAGACAAATGCACAGAGGCATGGAAAGCCGAGGAGTTTTCAAGTGTGGATCTCTGCAGTGTTTGAGGCCCCTGCTTTCCTGCTGAGAGCTGAGTCTCTGTGGAGAGGACATTGGGCAGATACAGGCTGATAGTCAGACAAATTATACCGAATGCTTATCCTGAGTTCCTCCTTCCCCCTGACTGCATTTATTTCAGGTCCTTGGGAGCTCAGGCAAACTCTACACCTGCTACAGTTCCTGCCACTTCTGCACGTGTCCTGCTTTTGGTTTCACTGTACTGCAGAAGAGCGAGAGCCTTCTGGTAAGCTGTCTGCCTTAACCTGGGGAGCAGGGAGCAGGGGAGATGGCCGTGCTGATATCTCCCCCCTGAGCCTGGGAAGGCTGACCTGGGCAAACTGGAGCTGCAGACTGTGCCAGGACTTGGTGTGACAAGAGGGAGCCATGTTCCTGCAAGCTGAGAACTTCATTAGGTGCATTCTGGCCTGGGTGGTTTGCTGTGGCTTCCAGGTATAGCATGACATTTCTGTGTTGCTCTTGCTGTTAACTTTTCCACTCTGTTATTTGCAGTGCAAACATATACTTGCCGTCTACCTCAGCCAGGCCATGGGAGCCTGTCAGGAGCTGACTGTCTCTGAGGAGCAGCTCACAAGCATCTTACTGGCTGAGGAAGAGGATGAAGGATGAAAGACTCAGATCACATGCAGATGTGATTTCTGTATACCTCCTGGCATAGCCAGCATTTTTCTTGCCTACAAGGCTGTCAAATGTCCATTGTGGCTGCTAGGCTTATTCTTGTGCTGTAACCAAGTGTGACTTAATTAGCAGCTTTGCACTGATATATAATAAATTGTAAGAAGCCTGTGCTGACTTCAGTTTCATTAAGCTATTCTTGGGACTTCTGAAGATGTTTGGAGCAGGTCTTGGATCTCTCAGGAACCAGCTCTGTGACTCCTGGTCCTGCTCTGAGGTTGGCCTCCTCTCCAGGTACAGTGTGGATTTGTATGACACACCATGTGAACACAACACTGCACAAAATGACTGCACACAGGCTGAGCCAGGTTGTGTAGTGGTAGATTAAGCATTCTGTATGTAAATAACAAAGTTATGGCAAATACAAAATCCGAGCAACGTGAGGAAAACACATCCATCCTATGTACATCAGAGCAGTAAAGAGTGATAGCTCAGGGTCCACAGCTACACTCTACAGAAAGGTCCTCTGTTATTTTCACTTCACATTTTTATAGTAATGTTCTGAGCTTTTTTTGAGGAGGGGTGAGAGGATGTCCTGTTTTTATTTTTCCTTGAAATGACTTTGGCTCAGATCCAGAAAGGCACTTCATGTGCCTAAATACCATGGTGACCCAGGCCATAGTTAACGATGGCCAATAACTTGGTAGCACATTCACACAAAGTGAACAACCTGTCTGTCTATGGACTTCTGGCTCATAAGTGGCATAAGAAGGGTAGCAGTAGTGAGTGCCACTCTGCAGTGCTGTCACATGCAGGCAGTGTCCTGGGACTGGCTCTGTCTCTGCTCTGTGCTGTTAAGAGTTTGGTTCATTTTCAGCCTGCATGAGGGGAGGAATTGAATTCTTTGTTGTAAGGATAAATGTGGCTTGCAACCACTTTGCAACTCTGCCAGACGTGCAGGTGAAACTCTACTTGTTTCTAGCCATGATTAACGGAAGGAAGAACACAGCCAAAGATAATAGTGAAGGGAAGGACTAAAAGGAGAGCCAAAGCCTGCCTAAATGGCAGGAGGTGGCTACATGTGTTAGCTGGACCATGACCAAGGCAGATGCAGCAAAGCTGAATGGAGATAGTAAAAAAGAAATCCTTCAGACTAGCTTTAACTGTTTAGATTCATCTTGGAAATGCCAAGATACCGAGCCAAATGTGGGCATTGCACAGACCCCGTCAGAGCACACTGGTGCTTCACCAAGCTTTGTGGCTGGCTTTGATGGTTCAGCTGCCTTACAGGAGCTGAGTCCACCACTGCCAGCAAACTGGCCTCTGGGCGAGGTGAGCACTTGAAGTAACTGAAAGGAAACAAAAAAGGTCCTGTCACCAAGGGAGTGTTTCCATGGCCCTTGGTGGCTTCAGAGCAGACCAACCATGACTGCTGGGGCACATCTGCCTTCTGCATTTCAATAACGAGAAATCAAACCTGATGCGTTCAGCTGCACAAGTTAGTACGTACTATAGAACAAAGTGACTTAAAGGCAATAAAACTGCTGTTCTAAAACTTCAGTCAGCCCTTTCCCTAAAGTTCTCTGTTTTAGTAAGTAGGGCTCTCATTCTGAGGCCAAAAATATGGCCAGGTGTGATCTGTTTGCCATCAGCACAGTCGTGTCCCTCAGAGCCTGGAACACAGATCCGGTTTCACACCAGCAACTGGGCTAAGACTTTTTCCCATCAGAGAATACTAGCTGCATCAAACAATTGATGGAATAAAAATTAGGGTATTACCAAAGTGCTGGCAAGTATGAACAACCCAAAAAAACAGACACTAAATTATAACTCCTATCAATCAAGAGATTAAAAAATAATAACATTAATTAAAATAAAGATCCGAGGACTTGACATGAGCAGCACAACTGGGGAAACACCCCCGGCAGGTGGGACTTCCACAGTCAGCACCTGACCTGGCAAGGAAGTACAGCACGGTCACCAGCACTCACGCAAACTGGTTAACAGTAGAGGGTGAAGTGCACTCAGTCTCCTTGGTCAGGTTATCCCCCTAGGAGGCACTACGTTAATTACAAACATAAAAATACAGCTGCGGAACTGCATAGTGGTCATTTCTGAGCACTCCCATAGGAGCCGGCTGTAACTGTTCACATAGGCACAGGGAGGGGTAGCGTTGGGGACAGGCTGGGAGCGGGACGTGCGAGGTCATATGGTCACCGAGGCGGCCGGAGCGTTCACGTTGGTGACGGTCAGGTGCTGGTTGTTGTCAGTGGTGCACTTGGGAAAGTCGTCCGTCTTGCAGAGGATCTTGGAAATGATCTTGCGGAAGGTGTAGCGGAAGTCCCTGATCCTGTAGGCGTAGATGATGGGGTTGATGACCGAGTTGGCATGTGAGAGGATGATGGCCATATACATCACCCACTCTGGCTTGGACTTGGAGAACTCCTCGTGGAAATGAGTGATGCAGTTCAAGATATGCAGGGGCAGCCAACAGAAGGCAAAAAGTCCTACGATGATGGCCAGAGACTTGGCTGCATGGACCTCCTTCTGCAGCGTGGTCCTGGAGTTGCCCATCAGCTCAATTTGATGCAGCTGCTTGCAGGCTACCATGAAGATCTTGATGTAGATTCCCAGCATGATGATGAGTGGAAGCAGCACGCAGCCGAAGAAGTTGAAGTACACCATGTAGCTCATAGTCACCACATTCTCAAAGAGACACGAGATGAAGCAGCCGTGGTGCCCTGCCCCGCGGTCAGCCCCCGTCTCGTTGGTGGAGTTGGGACAACCACTCATGGCTTTGTTCCACCCCATAAGTGGGGTCAGCCCGATCACAAAGGACAGGAGCCACAGCACAGCGATGAGTCCTCGCGCCCGCTTGCCAGTCACCAGGCTGTTGTACCTGCAGCATCAGAACCAGGACAGAGCCATTAACTGAAGGAGCGCTTGTGACCTCCCTGCAGTTCAAGTCATTGGCATTTTGGTGGAGGCCACAAAAGCCCCATGTGAACTCACAGGAACCTCACCTCTGTGATGGCCCCGGGGTACAAAATCTCACCTCTATGCCCACATGATGTGATCAGGGAGCTGAGTCACCGAGGGGTGCTCAGCACTGCCTTCAGCTGGAGGTAAGGACTGAGAGTTCTAAACAAGGCTTTGTCATTATGAACCTAACCCACCAGGAGGGCACAAAGCACTGCAGCCAGCACCTGGCTCCCAGCACAGGCACGCTCCAGCATGCTGCTGGGCTACCTGACCTGCAGGGCTGAGCTGCTGCTGGCTCTCACTTGCACACTGTACCGGGCAGCTAAAACCTAACCAACATCACCACATGGTCTTACAGCCTCTGTACAATGGGCAGCTTGCTTCAGCTTGGGCTGTTCTTAGACCTGCAGCAGTGCTGGCTGACTGGAGATTGCCACGGTGCAGTAGTGTGATGTCCGTCCCCGTGCTACCTCGTACAGTAACGTGGGAAGTATCCATGTCTCTGGAAACCACGGATCCTATTAGCTTCCCAAACAGGGCGATAGCTGGCTTACACATGCCAGGCTGCAGCCCACGCAAGCCTGTTGTGGCTGGATAACAAACACCCTGGGAGACTGCTCCGAGCCAGCATCTGCTAATGATGGATTGCTCAGATTTAGAAGCCAGGGGTTGTGTCTCTATTCCGAGACTTGCATCCAGGCACGGAGCAGGGAGCCAGGAACGCTGGGCTCTTCTCCCTCCTCCTGCCCTCCTGTCAATGTGGACAGCTTCCCCCGGCCACCAGGGCTGCTCCTGTGTGGTTGCAAAAAGCTGGGTTTCTAAGCAAATGCTTTCCTTGGCTTCTCATGAGTTATAAAAAATTTCAGCTATGGCAGAGGGTCAAGCTGGTGTGGGACTGAGGGGCACAGAGCCATGTGTTGCCCTACACCTCTCCTTATCCCAAATCCTGAGTTAGGAAAGCCAAGTGCTCCCCCAAGCCCAGGTGCACAGAGCAGTGAGAACAGCAGGAAGGGCAGGCTAGTTGGGTGTAATTAGAACAGACAGCAGCATCAAAGTGCTGCTCAGTTCTCTTTTTGGGGATACAAAGAGCTCAGTGAGTGCCAGAAAGACAACATGAGAAACCCATTATTGTCCCGTCCACTGCCAGCTAGCGTCCACTGGCCGACATACGTGTCCCCCCTTCCCACACCCTCCTCTCAGTGCTTGTTTACTCTGGCTCCATTACTCTGCTCCTCCTTTCCTAAGAACGCTTGTTCTCATTTTCTTCCGGCCCGTGAGGCAGGGAGGGTTGGATTCCCACAGACCCACAGCTGTGCATCTGAATCACGCTGCCGTTGCCTCCGTGCGCACGCGGCCATCCCCTGCTGGGAGCCACGGCCGCAGGCAGCAGCCCTGCACGGCTGCACACACACCCGATGGAGCTCACAGGGCAGATTTGGGTGCCCCTGCACCTTCCTCTCCTCATTACTAAGCACTGCTTCAGCTGAGAAGTTATCAGAGAGGCCAGCTGTGAGGCCAAGCTCTTTTTTTTCAAAGCCCTCTGCCTGTTTTCAGGAGCTCCACCTGCTCTGAAACTTGGTTTGATTAGAGGCAAAACCCCAGAAATCTTGGCAAGGTCAGAGCCTCGAGCTGCCATAAACCAATGGCAACAGCAGCAATGGCAATGGCAACTGCAAGGCCGAGCTCATCCCATGCACATACAACATGAGCAGGCAGTGGGGAGCTGATGCGTTTCCACAGCTCTGAACGCACCACTAAATCCCTCCTTTGCTCTTTTAGGCTTAATATTATCAGGCAAGAAACAATTAAAGTAAATTTACTCGCTGAAGTCTGCTCAATTAATGGACAACAAATATTGAATCTCCTCTATGCTTCTGCCAAAAGGCATCAAGTGCTGCTTTAATGTAAATAACAGCGAAATATTTTAAAATGATTTATTGAGATTAAATAACCCAGCAATGCATTAGTTCCCCTCACACAGGCAGGCACAGTCACCTTCCCAACCTAATCAGTGTCAGACTGCTAATTACTCAGCTCCCGCCCACTGCTGCCCATTGCACACTGGAGGAGCACCAGTGCCACCCCATCACTGGTACCAGTTCTCAAATAGTTGTACTGAACACCAGAGACATGAAAGCCACATGGAGCTACTGAGTGTTTAAATGCTCCTCTTGTGTATGGAACACACTGCTGACGTTGCAGCATTACCTTTCCAATCAGGAGGAATTTCTCTAATGATGGAGTGCCGTGGGGCTGCTGCTCCAAGCAACCCGACAGGGACATCACTGCCTTCTGCAGAGCAGAGCCAGGAGCATCCCAGCCCCTGTCCTGCCCTTTGGGTCCCTGGTTGGGGCTGTGCCTGCGGTGCTGTGCTGCGTCCTCCCCATCTGCCCCATCTGCCTGTGCCCAGTGCTGGCTGCAGGGACACGAGCAGGCGGGAGCTGCAGAACTCATCCTATGCAGGTGCTTTGATACAAACACATGGTGATAATTTACATGTTTCTATTTTAAGTGTGAAGAAAAACACACAGACACCTCCATTCACAAGGGTGAAGGCCTTCTGACTGCCAAGCATTGTGTCCCCATCATCCACTTGCAGCTGTACTTTGCATCACACTCCCTTTTTTTTTTTCAGCTCCAGTGCTGTTGGGCTGCTTGAGATCACACACCAGACAGCACACCCTGGCAGGACATTTTAAATGAATCATAAACTGCACTTTAGAGGGAAGAAAGAAAAAAAGAAAAGGAGAAAGCAGGGCTGTCCAACCAGGAAGGAGTTGGCGGCGAGAATGAGAAATCTGATCGGTGTTACAGCATCGGCTGAGGAAGCTGGACATCTGCGCGCGTCCGCATCCAGTGGCAGACAAATCACTTCCTCCTGCATCTGTCCCTATTGTGCACATGGGAAGGCAGCAGCATCCCCTGCTCGTGCTCTCGGCCTTCCTGCCGGTTATATGGGGCTGGGGGGCACAGTGAGGGCAGCCAACAGTGAGTGCTGTGCTGACTGTGTGCCCATGGGCGGCAGTTGGCATTGCAGCATCCCCTGAGCTCGGCTGCAGCACCCTCCCAGCCTTCTTGAGGGTGTTGCTATCAGTCCCTCCATGCCTGGGGATGAGGATTTCTCTCATTTCCAGCCCCCAGGCACTCCTTGTGGTGCAGAAGGGAGATAGGAGCTGTGGCTGTGTCAGTGCAAACCCGTATATAGGACAGCGGTGCAACCCCTCCCATGCATGGGAGCCCTGTGCACGCAGATAGCAGATAAGGGCAAGGTGGTGGGTGGCAGTGAGATCACTTCTTGTGTAACACAGCAGGCAACAGGCCTTCAGCAGCGGGTGAGGATGTGGCCATTGCTGCCCCTTGTCCCCTGCAGAACAGAGGTACGGCAGCTCCCCTGCTCCTCAGCACCTGATTGCTTTCCCAGCACCAGACGGTGCTCGCAGGGCATAGCCACACCCCAGGAACACAAGGCAGGATGTGGGTTATTTGTAGCTCCTGGCAAGCCCGAAGTCATCAGTGGGATTATAGGGGGATAATCCGCTCTTTGGCGCGTGCAAATTCCCTGAGCCCCGCCGGCCTTCGGCAGGCTCTGGGAGCAGATGGGGACGGCACAGCTGGCAGCACTGACCCTGCACGAAGCTCCGCTGAAGCCTCGCATCCCACTGCAGAGTGACTGCCATCAGGGTCAGGGCAGCACGGCCCTGAGAGACAATAAAACAGCACAAAAATTAACATAATTAAAAATTAACACAATATTGGGGTTATTATAACAGATCGATCTGACCTGAGCTGAAAGAAACCCTGAACAATCTCAAGGCTCCGGTTCCTGGCTCAGCCCAGCTCCATACCCCAAGCCACAGCCTGGAAGCAGCTGTGTGCTCCCTGACATCCCTGCTGCCCCCACAGCTGCTTCAGGAGTGCAGAGGTCCTGGGGACAATTCACATCCTGTCGGGATTTTGTTTTTTGCCAGGGAGGGAAATGACCCCTGAGGTGCAGGAAAAATAGAAAAATTTGGGACATATTTTAGGAAATCAGACTGCTCACACCTAAAAATAGCTGCTATTTCCCCCCTGCACTGGGCACACTTTTCTGGCCTGATGCATGCTGAGGTTATAAACCAGCAGTAATAGTGCTGGCCACCAATGGGATGGGCAGGGGACTTAGAGGCACTGCAGGGCAGCACTGATGGGCATAGGGACAGCAGGAGAAGAGGCAGTCAAAAGTTGTGTCCTGGGGAGAAAGGAGCTGGGAAGTGGCTCAGGGCTGTGGCCACACATGCTGGAATGGTGCAGGGGACTCCTCAGGAAATAGTAAATTTGTGAAACAAACAAATAAAAAATAGAGTTTCAAGGGACAAAAAGAATTCATGAGACTGTGGCCAAATTAAGCAAATATTTTTAGCCAGACGAGGGAGGGTTCCAAAGAACCAGTTTGAGATTCAACAAAACAGTTGTTTTGCTGCACTCTAGGTAGGGGGCTCATCAGCTCCTTCCTATGTGCCTCCATTACAGAAAGCAGCAGAAGGGCAAGCAGCCCAAATGTGATCTGCACAGTCAGTTGGGACCCCCTGTTTCACTGCCACCCCCTACCACTGCTGCTTCAGTCAGACTGAAGTAATTTGCCTCTTCTCCCATGGGATTTCTCAGTTCAGCCACAGAACTGAAAAATCCATTACAAGCCTGGCTGTAATGCACAGCCCTGCCTGCAGCCCTACCTGGCCTCTGTGGGCTGAAACATCCCTTAAATAATACTGAATTATGCGTCAGGCTCCGTCCTCAGCATCCCCGCACAGGTTACCAGAGGGAACATGGTGTGCTGAGCTCAGGCGATGCAGGCTGCAGCTGGGCACCAACTTGTGCTGCACAAGTACAGCCCTTCAGCACAGTCCCTAAACCTGCTGCTGCTGAGGCACTGCCCTGTTCCCATCCTTGTAATGGGGTTTTACTGCTCTCACCCTATCCGGAGGGGCTCTGTGCTGTCAAAGCCCACTCCAAGAGCCTCAGTGCCAACAGATGGATTGGGCGCTGAAGCATTGTCCAAACAGAGTCCTGTGCTGGAGGCTGGGAGCTCAGCAGCCAGAGCCAGAAGTGTGCAAGAGTTGAGCCCTGCTGTCCCTGTACAACACTCTGCATCCCATGGAATTTCCACGCTCTGGTGACACACAGCCACTCAGGATACATGCAATTTCACCACCCAGATAGTTTTATCATCTGCCCGATGACTAAAGTTTGCCCCACATATGGGAGTTCTGTGCTGCAAGGTGCCAGAAGAGGGTGGGTGGGTGGGGTCCTCTAAGTCACTTGAGGATGAATTCATCACTGGTGCAGGGGAGCTAGAAGTGAGCAGAGCCCAGGGAAGCTGCAGCTGGTGTGGTTCAGCTGAGGTCCCTGTGCCGGAGCTGCCCTGACCACACCAACACTGCTGGCAGTCCCAGTGCTCCTGGGGCTCACCGGGCTGCATCGATGTCTGGTTCTGGGGGAGGGACAGTGGAGACAAGAGAGCAGGCTGACAGACTCCGGTCAGTCGTGATACAGACTTTGGGGTTTTGCTGCACTTAGGGAAAGCACTTGTAAAATATATTTCACACACTTTCCCAGTGCATTGCAATGAACAAGAAGGAAGCCAATTCCTGGCCTTGAAACCACGCTTTGACGAAAACATGAACTGTGTGTTTCTGAAAACCACACAGCGGTTTCTGACCCCCCTGCTGCTCTCCCCTCACAGAGCTGACAGCTCCTGATATTCCCCGGTGTGCACAGTCGGAAGGAACAGGCCCATGTGTGAGTGCAGAAACGTACTTACAGTACCCAATACTTGCTGCAACAAACTGCACTTTCTATTCATTACATCCCCTCTAAAACCTGGAAAAAGCCTCGTTAGCTCTAGTGCAAGTTAATGACGTGAAGCATGCACAGTATCACAGCAGATCCTAGGGCTGAATTTCAGCCTTGCTGAAGGTATCATGACCCGAGCTGGGAGCAGCCTGCACAGCTGCTCTCGTGCCTAATGACCCAGAGAAGCCCGGATACCACAGGAATGGGGGCTGTACAAATACCTCCATAGATGAGCTGGAGCTGTCCCTCGCTACCGCACCACTGTGGAGCCGCTGCCAACCCACCCAAGGCAAATAACTTCCAGAAACTGAGCCCACAGTTATAACTCTGAATAAGAGATGGGACACTGACAACCCAATCCCAGAGCAAGTAACGGCGAATCACCGACACTTTCACTATCATCAGCTTTGGGCAGCAGACCGCATGGTAATGTGAGAGAGAGGAAGTTCCCACGAGAGAGGTGGGATGGGGCAGCTGCCAGGTGCAGGGTCTCTTACCTCAGGGGGATCTTGATGGCCAGGTACCGGTCGATGGCCACCGCCAGCAAGCTGAAGATGGAGCTTTGGGTCAGCACCAGCACGAAGCAGGCGAAGAAGAGGCAGCTGTGAAAATCCACATGGAAGCCGATGCTGATGGTGATGGCGAAAGGGATGGCCAGCAAACCCACGGCGATGTCGGCCACCGCCAGAGACACCAGGAAATAGTTGGTCGCGTTCTTCAAGGTGCTGTTGATGGCCACAGCCCAGCACACCAGGACGTTGCCAGCGATGGACAGCACGGCGATGATGAGCTCCAGCACGATGTAGGTGGTTTTCATAGTGTTCATGGCGAGAGCCCGGGACGAGGAGCTCGAAAGGTTCACAAGCAGAAGGGACTTTCCACCGCAGGTACCGGCAGGCCACGGGGCAGCGGCTCCCGGAGCCCAATTCCCATGTCCGGCCCCACCGATGGGGCCGTGGGGGGCCGGAGGGGCGCGCCGAGCCCCGCGCCTCGGCCCCCCGCTGCCCGCAGCCCCCGTCCCCCGGGGGGCATCCGAGCTTCGCCGGCAGCGATCACCGCCCGCCCTCCACCGCGGGGCTCGGCCGTCGCGGGGCCATCGGGGCCGGTCGGGACGGGATGGATCGGGACGGGACGGGACGGGACGGGACGGGACGGTTCCTCCGCTCCGGCCGGGGATGCTCGCCGCCGCCCGCTCGCCCCGCTCCCTGCGGAAACCGCCGCCGCGGCTATTTCTGCACATGGGGCGAACGGAGCGGGGCGGGGAGTGTGCGGAGCGGCCACGATTGGCCGAGGCGGGCGGGCCCCGGACCGGCACCCCCGCACCTCTCCGCTCCGCTCCGCACCGCTCCGCACCGCTCCGCCCGGCCGCTGCCCCCGCCCGCCCCGCAGGTGCCCCGAGCAGAAAGTTCCCCCCGGCGTTCAGCACCGCTCTTCTCCCGCACCGCATTGCTAAGCGCGTTGGGACACCGCCGTGCGGTGTTGCCACACGGAGAAAAATCCCCGCGATGAGCTGGAAAAAAAAAAAAAAAAAAAAAAGAGAACTATTTCATAAATCATAATAGCACTTCGTCTGCGGACGGTTATCACACAACGTAATGTTCCCTGATGTAAGAAGTGGCAAAACATAACGGTTACCAAAGCTGACTGTTACTCACAGGGCTGCAGAGGCTTTGCGTGGGGCTACAGAGTGTGGAACACACCAAAACCCGAGGCAATCGCCAAAACAAAGGGGCTGTATGCAGCAGTGGGGCTGAAATACAGCACCTATCCAATAACACCTTTCCACTGCACCTTCTGTATGCTGTGTTTGCCATCAGAACGCAGCCAGAGCTGGGACTGAGCAAAGTGAACTGCTGGGGTCGTTACCTCTGTCCATCCTGTTGGCTGAGCACTACTGGATGCCACAAAACTGCGCTGATGTTCAACCTCAGGTCTGGCCATTGCAAACAGAAAGTAAAAGAAACGGCAGTTGCTTTTTTAAAACAAACTCTGGAAGAAAAACCTGTGGGAGGGAAAGCTTTCCGGGGATCTGAAGCTGAAGCAGAAGAAAAACACATGGGAAAAGTACTATATAAATGCTTATTTTGTGGAGGGAATAGAAATACTCCCATGTGCTTCAGGTCCTCCCCAGCCCTGCCTGGGTCCTGAACCTGCCTGCACTGGTTTGGTTTATTTATTATTTGGGGATAGGCAGAGCTCCGCTCATGGGGAGGCTGTTATAATCATGTAAACAAAGGTTAACAGTCGTGGAAAAGCACTTTTTACCCCAAAGCAATGGATCTACATCAGGGTTTTTTACACGCTGTTTTCCTAGCTCTATAATACACGCCAACAGAAGCCTGTTGCTGCTTTACAGCACTTCAGTGCAACGGAAAGGGCCTTCTTTGCATTTCACTAGAGAGGAATCTGCTGTGGTGACCACAGAAGCACTTCTTACAGGCTGATCCCATGGAAATTTTGGTTTACCAAGTCAGATGTGAACAGAGCAGCGATCCTCCGCAGGCTGTGATGAATGGGCTGTTCTGGAGAAGGAGGTCTGCAAGGCAGGTAACAAAGCACTGTGAACATTGTGGATTTTGCATTATGCTGAGATTCATGGCCCTGCAATGCACAGAAACCTCTGCCAAGGCCTGGTGGTTTCTTTTGGCGTTAACTGATGCAGCTGAACTCACTCCGAACACAACTTTGCTGCAAGTGTGGCCAAAGAGAAGTGTGCTGAGCTCTGCTGTAGAAATGCAGTTAAACCTGCAGGCAGGAGAGCAGGATGAGCCCCTCCCCAGCCAGAGACACGCAGCTCCCAGCCCGTGCCCTCTGGCTGCATTCTTCAAACCCTGTTTTAAGAAGTATAGCACCATAGAATCTACCACCAAACACCACTGGAGCATGCTGGCCTTGTAAAGCAACCAGCTGAGCAGGCGCTGTGAAACTCATTCCTGTGGCTGAGAGGACGATGATCCTTAGATGAAAATGTGTGCAGCGTGCATTTGTGTACAGGAGTCAGTAAGTGATCCTTATGGGTTCCTTCCAACTCAGGATACTCTGTGATTCTATGCAGTCACGCAGGTAAAGGCAGCCCACAGGCTACAGAATCTATTCAAGAGCTGGAAAACATTAAGAACAGAGCACTGTTTGGCACAAAGATGTCGCTGAGTGACAAGTAAATCATCACCACCATTACTTTCCTGGATTTATTCGACTCCGGGGACTTGCTGCTCAGTGCTCCCATAGGAAGCGACACCAGCGGTGAGCTGCTCCTTTCAAGTGCCAGCACGACTCGGGCTCCTTTGTTCAGAGGGAAGCAGCTTTAAACACGTGCCGTGTGTGATACAGTGGGAGACAACCCCAGCAGCCTGCTGGGCTACGGCTTGGCAGAGGCTTGCAGCTCGTACGTGCCGTTCCTCTGTCGCTGCGCTCCCGGGGGAGCAGAGCCGCCATGCTGGAGGCAGCTTCCTGCGGCCGCTGTGATCTTTTGAGCAAGGCTCAGGTTGAGGGCTGCCCTTGGTCGTCTCTGTTTTGACACCTTCAGGGCTCTAAGCCTGGTCAGAGCCCTGCCACGTGGCTTAGTGAGCCCTCGGGCCTGTAGACAGCACCACACCTGCTGCCTGAGCAGTTCCTGGATGGCAGCCCACAGCCCTTTGTGCGTTGCTGAGCATGCAAGTTTGACAATCACGTAGGCCCAGAGGTTCTCTCTCCCTCCAGCCTTCAGCACAGACCTCAAAACACACACACACCTCCTCGGGAGAAACATTCCTAATCTCTTTGAACTGCTTGCATCGGCCAGGGGGAATGACCAGTGACAGGTCCGTGGAGATGCAGTACTTAGGGACACAGTCTAGTGGGCAGAATTGGTTTTAGGCAGATGCTTGGACTAGATGACCCTAGAGGTCGTTTTGAACCTTAATGATTCTGTGAGGCTGTGTCTGACTGCTTGGTATACTGGCACAGCCTTCTGAATTGAGGCCCCACTGCTTCTCAAGTCTCCACTGGCACTTCTGAACTGCTCTGCAGGACAAGACACAGCTTGTCCTGATCTTGGCTCTAAGGAAGGGTTCCCAAGGCATAATATAACCTGCAAACCAGGCAGCTGGTACAGAAGTCCTCTTCAAAGTGGTGCTTCCACTGGCAGTCTGAGTTGTGTGTTGCCTGCATGAGCTGGGTGAAGGAAACACCATTTTTGAGTGCAATATGGTGTGCAGCAGGTGAAGTGTTGCTCTGCCCGAATATTCATTGCTTGCACCTCCGCACTGAGCATTACCATGCCAAAGATCCAGATGAGCTCTGAAGTTGTGGAGGTGCATGATTCAAGGTGAGGTTTGCCCTTTATTGCTGTGGGTGTTTTTCCAGAAGGGAAGGGAAAGTGTAAAGCAGAGAGCAAAACTCCAGAGAAAACTATTTCCATGCTGGAGACCTCAGGAAGTCTGCAAAGTGCTTGAGAGATGAAACAAAAAATTATGGCAAGATTGTAAACTGCAGATCAACAAACCTGGTTTTTCCAAGATCTGGGGTCACTGCCAGATAATAAACGTAAATTATTGTGGAATGTAAAACCAGCGCCTAAATTACCTGCATCCTGCAACAATGCAGGTGTGTGAGTTCTTTATAAATGGTGAGTTATATCTTACACCTTTCATTAGAAAACAAAAAAAAGTCACCACAAGACTGAAAAATCAAAATAAACTATTAAGAGCAGAGAAGTTAAAAAGGAAGGATTTTGGCTGAGCAGAGGGCCAGGCAGTGAGGACAGCATTTTAAAGAATGTTTTAGTTTATCTCTGTGTTTGATTTTACTTACTAAGCACCTCGTATGATGCAAAGCCAAGCACCCTTCTCAGCAGTAAGTGAAAGCTGCAGTTTTTCCAGAAGTGCATTAAGCCACACAGGGCTCACAGGGTGTGGGTTGCCTCACTCGTGCTGAGGGTACAGCAACTTCCCCAGAGAAATCCGTAGGAAGTGTCGTTTTGTTTCCAGGCCAACACCAGCAGTGGAAAGCCCAGGGTGAAGCAGGACAGGCAGCGATGCCGTTTGCAATTCAAACAACCCGAGATTGCCTCATTCACAGCCAGCGCTTCCTGGGCAAAGCCTTCACATCTTCTTGCCCCTAACAACACAGCCTTGCTAAATGTCTGCTGCAGGAGTCTAACTCAGAAGTTTGCTCTCCATCAATACTTCACAGTAACAATAAGGAGAAGTGATTCTGTTCCTTGCCAAACTCTGACAGGGCACGAAAATTTGCTCTTACACCAGAGATCAAAGCTGTTTGGCTTTATGCAAAAATGGGACATTTGAGTTTCAACTGAACAGACTGAGGAGACTTGAATTAATGCAACACAGCCGTACTGAATAGAGAAGCCCATCATGTTCCAAGTCCCATGACACCTTGGAGCCATCTTTAGCCTCTAATTCCCATTCTCCTTTCACAGACAGACCCATGCAGCCTCTAATGAGTAAAAGGGTGCCTTAGTTGTGACACAGTGAAACCTGCAGGATACACACAAAAAATCAGGTCAGGCAATGTGAAGGAAGTACCACAGCCTTCCTGTCTCACTGTCTCAACACAGCAAACACTGAATTTGTGCTCAAAACCCATTTGATTCCAAGTATCTTTACCACAGCTCCTGCTGCACTCCTCCATTACAAAAAGAATTTCTTGGAGTCTGCTCAGCACGGGAGGGTCCTGCCCTTGGAGGGATGGTGACACACTGAATGCCATCTTCCTTCAGAGACTGAGCACCAATATACAGAAACCTCACTTCCTTTGGATCCTGTTTGTCCACTTGCAAAAGCACGACATAAACCTGCTGCTAAACACCTTCAGAACACAGTAACTTAATGTCCGTCCCTGCATGACTTTTCAGACCCTCATTTAATTGCTCAGAAAGCACTGTCTTAATCCCAGGTGAAGGGGAGAACCTTCATGGATCAGTGTGTTATTTATTATCAGTATTATGAGTCCCTTTGCAAAGCTTCAAAATGAACTCTTCCATCCCTGAATGGCTCTCCAGGGTCTCAGCAATACAACTACTCTCAAGGGCTAAGCTATGCATATGATATTATTGCTGTGCTACTCAGACACACTGGGTTGTGGGAACTGAACACCAGTAGCTGCATTACAAATAGGAATAGACTGCGTGCACTGCTTTCACTGTAACTGCCCTCCAGGGAAGGAAATTATAAGCAGAAATTCAAATTTTTGCAGGTTCCTTCAAAGGGGGTTGGGCAGCAGTGTCCCTAATGAGAGCCATCCCCAGGAGGTGTTTTCTGCTGGATTCCACTCCCTGCAGCTCATACCAGCAATTGGCCTTTTCCAGTCACATTGGCATTACAGGAGGTTCCTCTGTGCTGGGCTGTTTGCTACAGAGCAGGTTTGGAAAAACACTTGCTCTCATTTTAATTCTCTAGTCTTGTTAGTTTCTCTTTAACCAGCTTAAACTCATGATGTGCAGGTAAGGATAAAAGCTCGGTCATTGCTATGTACTTAAGAAGGGACAGAAGTTCATATTCTACATATGTGAATAATGTTTACCCACACTGGCATTTTACAGCTTTCATTTTCTTCCTGCTATGCTCAATAAAAAACACTGATTGCCCCCATAATCCTAATGCCATCTTTTCTGAGTGACATTTACTTCAGAGTCCTGCTACACACGGCTTGTGCCAATACTATTTCAGCATCAAATAATGCAAAACTTCACCTGTGAGAATTCAGCCACCTGGTTCTGACCCTTGCAGACTCTCCATCTGGAAGACTTGCTTCTCATACCATTAGTATTGCTCACGTTTCTCTGCCATCTATTATGGTCCATGACTCTCAAGCCCATTCAGCTCCTTAACTAATGCTCACTTGCATCTCCTGTTCAAGCATCACTACATCTGTTGTAGCCTAAAAAGAGGAAACACAGAGTAATTATTTTACACCCATGGGTGGCTGGGCAGCCCAGGACAATGTGGTATGACACTTGCCTGTCTCTGAAAGCTGTTCACTATGTGATTCAGTAAGAAACTGCTTCCTCTACACTGCACCTCACTTCTTTTTTCCTTTCTTCTGAGCTACTTTTCAGGAGTTGTAAGAGAACCAGGATCTGAGGTCCTGTCCATTTAGTTAGCAGAATCCTGGGAATATTAGGCAAAATTAGCATTATTAATGACTAAGAGGAGACATGAAAGGGTTGGCTCAGAGGTGGGTGCGACTGAAAAACATAATAAGCTTTTCCCAAAACCAAGAGTTTCCTTTTCATCACATCTTGGGGAACCACAAGCGAGTTCCCATAGGTTCAAACCATGTTTGTGATTAGCACACCTGCCTCAGTTCCCAGGGAGGGTCTGTGACCATTTTGGGAATGCAAACCAAGACTTCCCAGGGCTCATACTGGGCTTTAAGCCTTACTGCACCGACTGTGTTTTCTTCAGCTTCAAATATAGATTAGGTCATGGCACTATGCTTTTATCTGCCTCTGCCAGGGCTCCAGCTGGATATGAACCTCCAAGTGCTGGGATCTATGTTTGGAGCAGGTCTGTGAGCTCTCAGAGAGGTTCATGACATGGGCACTGCGCTGATACAAACAAATAAAAACCTCTCCCTCTCAGATAGATGAATGTGCACCAGGAAGGAAAGGAATTTTTCCTTCCAGTCCAATCTATGCTCTCTAAGCATTAGGAAACACCTGGTAGTGAAACCAAACTTAGCAGCAAAGCAGCCCTAAATCTTCTCATTTCACTCATCTACAACCAGCCACAAACAATCCTGGAAAAACATTGGCCTGAACTCTCATTTCCAGTCTCTTGCTGAACCACTTGCAAACATATCAGCATGGATTACTCACAGACATTTTCCACAGAGAATCCAGCTTTTTCCAACAAATAAATCAAAGCAACTGGAGTATGTTGTGAAAAGAGCTGAGGCAGCAGAGCCTGCAAGCATCTCACAGCTTCCTTCAGTAACAGAAATACCAAGTCTGGCAGAAGGGACAGCACCAACTGATCCTATGTAGGATCTATTTGCTGAAAGATAATAAGGGAATTTGAAGACATTAATACACAACCGAATATAGTAAATTCTGATAAAAAAAGAATGATCTTACAGCCTGTAGAACCTGATGGAAAGACTATTGATTTTTGCAGGATTCTCAGTGTATACTTACCAGGGCAAAGGCAGTGGCATCAGTTTAGTCGAGATACTGAAGTCAAGTGGCAGAGGAGTGTCTCCATTTCAACATTTATATCTTTTTATGAGCGCTTGTTTGGCTTAAGCTTTGAGACAATCTGTGATAGCATGACTTTGTGTTTTGTAGCAATTACAGTTCAAGCAAGGAATACGGTGACAGATTTTAAAGAGCAGCAAATAGATGTAGTATGCTTGATCACTTGCTCAGAAACAAAGCAAACATGATCTGAAGTAGCTGCAATAACATGTATCTTGCTAGCCATTGGTATCTCCATACTGTACAAAGAATGGATGAACTCTGACAACACGCTATCAAGGGATTCATATTGTTTTATAGACAGAGAATGGAACTGAGACTTTGGTAGGTGCAATTTTTGCTCACCAGTATGTGAGACAGACAAGCAGGATTTCACATCCCTGAGGTGAAACATCACAAAATCAGTCTGACCTGATTATTAATTAGTCATATTACTATACTGCACGTTGACTCAGATTGTGGTTAGAGGCTAAATAAACTTCTAGCAAAAACAGTCATTGCCCTAAAGAATTAATGGCTGAAAAATGAGGACAGACAAAAGGATAAAATAGATTGATGATGGATTGGAGCTTTAGATAGACTGACATGAACTGCTTTAATCCAAGATCATCCAATTGATGAACGCAGAGTCCTGCTCTTTGTGCATAACACATTCCTGATGATGGTGAGATCTCCGGAGGGCAAGACAAGGCTGATTCTGAGAAGTTCTTTGCAGAAGACCACAGAGATACAAATACCGAATCTAGTGCTTTCTAAGTGAGCTACTGCAAGATTTTTAAATAAAGTGGCTGCCTGAAAAAATTGGAAAGTCTTCTTTCCATTTTACTTGGTCATGCTATGTCCAGGAGGTAAAGCTGTCTGAATCAGAGAAATCATCAAAACAACACTGCTTTCCCTGTGACATTGCCACAAGGAGGGACCAACCCTGTGTTGAAAATCCATGGCTGAAACATGATATATAGGAGGGGAAAAGCAAAGAAATTTGGATTATGCAAATGAGAATCTTTCTCACAAGCTTTCATTTACACAGCTTCTCACTGCTACTCCTCAGCATCACGTGTAACAGCATCAGGTGGAGTGCTCTTTGCAGGCTGTAACTCATTTTGCCACCTTACTGGTGACTTGCTTATACCTTTATACGTATTCCAGTCACACATCCTTGGCTTTCAATTTTTGACTGCTTCTTCCTAAATCCTCTAAGTCATTTAAGCTCTCCTGATGCAGAAACATACCGGTGTCTCCTGTGTTCCTTCCTTTCCTTTGCATTAGGATGGTTTCTTACTGTGTCTTCAATACAGTCTGTTTCAGAATCTGACACTCCTTTATCCCCAAGACAATCTTCTGAAAGGCATCCAAATGCATCTACTTAAAAAATGGAAATTGATGTATTTATGAAATGAAGCTTCTGATCAAATTTTCTCTGCTACCGGTGTAGGAGAAACAATGAACCATGAGGATGTTTTAAAGCCTCTCCTGGGAGCCCTGCTTCCCAGCAGTCTGCAGATGAATCAGGTTTGTATGTAGATATTTGAAACATTACAGAAACATCAGAAACAGAGAAAGATTTATTAGAAATATTACTTTTTTTTTTTTTTTTTTTTCATCATACATTTCAATAATGTTAATCTTTAAATATTAGCATGTCTGAATCTGGCAATGCCTTGTATATACATTCTAATGTGCTCTTTGTATAAATTAGATCACGATGTAACATCTGTATCCAATAGAGAAAGCTAAAAGTACTCAACTGTTAGAGATGATTATGCCACATGATAAACTCAAGTCTGGACCAATAGTCAATAAAAACATTGTGTCCAGCACCACCCAATGGAACTTGGCACACGTGCAAGTTAAAAACGTAGAGACCATCAGTTGTGAAAAATGTTAATTGTAGTTAAATCATAAACTTGTTCCTACGCAGCATTTGTGGGTGAGTCTAAATGGCACTGGAGTTGATAAAAAACAACAGAGTCTAGCATAGTAGAAGTTATTGCTGGGTTTAAAAATATGTCTTAATGCTCAGTGCCCTGAGTCTTCTTAGGCAAAAGCCCTCTTCTGACAGGAAAATGCATAATCTCATCCCATACGGACTCTGCATGTCATCAGATAGACAACAAGGTGCAGCTTTGCAAACAGCTGGACCTGTCAGATACTTCCAAATGGAAGCCCTGGTACCATTAGCAGAGAAAGATGAGAGAGGTGCAAACAACCTACAGCCAGATGAGCCAACACACTCTTATTGTCATTGCCAAGGAAGTGAGAGTTAAGGCAGTGAAGCCAAAAGCTGGACTTTGAAGAGCTCCGGGTCAGGAATCAAATAGGGCAGAATCAATCCTTCTGTCAGCATGCACCTATTTGGTTTGGACAGAAAACTCACAAATACTGGTTGCACACACAGAACAAGAAAAATCATACAGAAAGCCTGAAAAGAAAAGAAACCTGCCAAAACTCAAACAGCACAATGTTCTTCACTGAATGGAAACTGGAGAACCTGCTTAAGTCAAAAATGAGTCTGCTTAATGTGGCTGCCTTACTGCAGCACAAGAAAAACAGTGAATCTTTGGCTCTTGGACATTCCCATGAATATCACAGTCACAGGAAGGAAAACCTGGCAAATGCAGTGAGCTCTGGGTTCTCTTCCCTCTTCATCTTCCAAGGGCCATCCCAGGCTGCACTCAAGAGGTCGGTCAGTCGGGACTCTCAAGCTGAAATCCTACAGACATCCGCATCCTTTGCTGTCCATACAGGTACAGGTATTAATTTTCCATCTTGTTCCCTCTCCTCACATACTGGACTTTCACTCCAGGCAGTTTCATTGCATACTTTCAGAAACAGCTCATCAGTCCTTCTAGAAAACCTTCTTAGAGAGCTGACTCTTGACTTCCTTCTCAATTACCCTGTATCTTCCCAAATCATGATATACTCTGTACCTTCTACAAATCACCACAAGTTCTGGAAGTCAGATCACTTTCCACACATTTAATTCCCTTTCCTCTAGCAGCTGTAGTGAAACAATCACACAATGCAATATCCCTCCTTGGAACTCCACTGAAATCCCCATCCTAAACATTTTTCTCACATGCTCAACCAAAATCAGCTTTTTGATTTCTTGGAGTCTGACAGACTACCCCAGGACACAAATAAATGCAGTTATGTTTTAGAGCTACTGTACATTTAAGGAGCACATGCTAAAGCAATTCCATCTGCCCACATCAGGGAAAAAATCTATTACTCCTAAGAGGCAAAGTCAGAAAGGATTTAGGTAGCTTAGGCAAGCTGTTGCTGATACCATCCGTATCACAGCATTGTGTGTTCCAATTTAGCAAGAATATTCCTATACACTGTAGCTTACCTTAATAAGTCCTGTAACATCAATGGCAGCTAGAACTTTAATTTTTCAAATTCCAATTTGAGATGCCTTAAAAGAACTCACAGACACTATGTATTTTCTGAACACCACACTGCTCTGCAGCACCTTATATGGGACAAACGTAAATTTATACTCAAACTTTTAGGCAGCCTCAAAAAGCAATAGCCTTTTCTAAAAATCTAGGTCTGCAGGTGTAATGGTGCAACATTCCAAAGGAAAAAAAACCAAACAAACACAACAATGTAGCAGCTTAAATGAACACATAAATCCAATTCTTCATCTCAGAAAATAACTCGGAAGAGTATCTCAATCTCCAATTATCAGCACTTCCAAGTGAGATGTTTTGCAGGTTTAAAGGCTGGAAAGTAACACAGAGCAAATGGTAAAACCGATACCTTGTTCTCTACAGACAGACAACTCCTTGTTCCAACTCCCAGGTAAGGGAATGTTCTCATGAATATACAATTAGAACTGCGTAGAATTAGAGTTTGGACTATGCTGTTGGGGGAGGCATGAGAAAATAAGCTGCAAAGAGACAGAAACAGTGCTTTGTAAAATTGATTTAAAAACTAAAAGCCATCAGATCAAGCAGCAGAATGCTTTGTAAAGCTAGTAAGTCTTGGGGAAACAGATTAGAATAAGTGTCAAAACAGTGCTTGAAGCAAATGGAACTGACATATAAGATAACATATGTATGTAGCTTACATCTGGACAGCCACACGGAACACATGCACTTCCAGTGATCAGAGGGTTAAGATGATCCTTCTTTTCTGGATCACGTGGAGCCCTCTGACTTTGAAATGTTTTCCAGACTCTGGGAATGAAAACAGTTTTTGTCATCTGTCCAAGTGCCTGATCCAAAGCCCACTGAGGAATATGGAATTTTCTGTGTTGACTTCACTATGCTTTGAACTACAGCCTGTTGGTGAGTTGGGATCTCTGCCAGTGGATACCTCAAGGGAAAAGAGCCTGCTGCATCCACAAGGCAAAGGAGTTGTGCAGTGTGGCTCCCTTCCTAAACGAAATCTGCTTAGCAACTATTTTTCTCTTCCATCTTATCATATAACAGGAAACTTATATTTGAGAACATTTAGAGCAATGCATCCCCTGCTCTCTAGAGATGTCAGAGTGTATGCTGAAAATTATTGCAGGCTTAATTTAATCTAGAAAGCACTCTCTTGCAAGGAAGGAACTCTGCCCAAGCATTTACAATCACTTTCTCCTGAGGGTGATGGATTAGAATAAGTGTCAAACTGGAACTCAGAGCAAGTGCTGCTTTCCTGCTCCTGTGAAACAGGCATACTCTGTATTCTTCCAGCTTCCTTTCTGTTCAAGGCACTCACTGACCTTGGCTGCTGTCATCTACCCCCTAAATCTTGATTTTGCTGTGAGAAAACCAAAGTCTGAAATAGCTTGTTTACTAATTAAAAAAAAAAAAAAGACAAATAAACAAACCCAATTAAGTACTATGGGGAAGCCAGAGGCTGAGATCAGGCACCTGCAGTGCCCCAGAAAAATCATGTTTCTTCTGTGAAATCATCTATTTCCATTTCATGAGCTCTTTTCAAGTGCTAAGAGCAGCAAGCATACACTATTAACTTTTGTAAGAGAAAAATGATCCCTAGCTGCCTATGATTAACATTCATGGAGCATCAGGTCTGGGTCACAGGGTTAAACACGCTAACTAAACAACTCCTTTCTTGTAGCAGCATAATCTAAAGCGGCTAGCAGCCTTCTGTGAGATCCTGTACAGCATATTCTCTAAGACCTGCTCCTAGAACAAACTAAGTAGCCTTTATTTGAGTTTGATCCTTTCACCATTGGAGACAACATAAAATTTAGCTTCATGGGGTGAAATAAGAGAAACAGTAAATTAAACAGCATACTTCGGACATCTTACTGATAGTATTACTGAGCTGAAAGGCTATTCTCTGGCACCTTAAAGATATCCAAGAAACCCAGAGGGGAACACAGTAATATTCTGCAATTTGCAGAGTGAAATTGCAACTTCTATTGTTACCAATACATTACTGTGTTCCTTTACAGGGTAATGTAACTTCTAAGCATTTAAACAGTGCCCTGTGGACTACATTTCATCTCAAAGGGCATAAGCTGTCTCAAGATTTATGTTTCTATATAGAATTTACTTATTTGTGCTGATTACAGAAGATCAGTGCAGAAAAGAGAAGTTGCTCTACTCAGTTCACAAAAACATGAACTACTGAGATGTCAATATACTGCTTAGAGAGTCACCACCTGATTACTGGCACCTTGTAAACTAAAGCTAGTAACTTGCATTTGCAATATTCCTATGCTAATAGTGTCTGTATAGACAGCTGTGAAACAAGGCTCCATTTTCCTTTAACAGTCAAGCTATAGTAATGAAACTGTTGTAATAAAGCTGTTTTTCTCTGAAATGACATCTGTTTGATCTGAAATGGAGTGCCAGTAAGTAACAGTATCTTCCAGAGTTCTCTCACGAACTGGTGGTGGAACAGAGCATGGTTTCCAAGTTACAAATGATGGTGTTGTTATCCTACTGGATAAGCTATGGCAAAAAAACAAGCAGACTGACTGGGTCAGATGTGTGAGAATAACTCAGGTTAAAGTTCTACACACATGCATTTGTCATGGCATCTCATAAAATACACAGAGGGAAGAAAACAAGACATATTTGGAATGAATTAAAAATATTTGGGCGAGAAGAGCATTTTTGTGAGATTTTGCATTAGAATTAATCTCCCAGCTTCCCTTAAGTACCAGCATAGTCCACATTGATTTAAAACTTCATGTTGTGGCAGGTCTCCTGTTGGTAGAGATTGGTTTGTGGTAAACATTGTGTAGCACAAGGAATCCTCTTCAGAAACAAAATTGCAGATGAATTTGGTTTGAATATATGGACAACAGTTATTTATTTGGTTTAATCCCAGATGTAATCAAAACTATGGAAGAGCTTTCTTTCAAACTAAGAGCATAGGTTGGTTGTGGAAGAGGAGCAAGGGGATTTTTAAAGTGATCGAGTGCATCTGTGGCATTCTTTATTCTCTTCCCCACTTGTGTCCACCTCTTGCTCTGCATCTCAGGTCTCAAAGTACTTGTAAATCTGGGCGACGTACTGCATCACACTCTGCCAGTCTGGCCGGTCTGTGTACATCATCTCACTGAGTTCCTGCATAGGACATATTGTCAAAATTTAGTCAAGCACCTCCACTGAG